ACAAAGCCGAAACGGCTCATCAAGAAAAGCACGGTGGCTGGTGGAGCTTGTCGCCGGAAACAGCCACCTTATCCGGCTGAAAAGTAGCTCCGGCATGTATCTCACGGCTTCCGACGAGCCGTTTCTTCTTAGCATGACAGGTTCTGAAACGCGTACACTTTAAATTACTTAATTATATTATGTCTCATCATGCCTCCTTCCCTCACGTCTAGGCTTGTTTCTTTTTCATATGTCATCCTAATTTTTTGCTTCTAGGTGACACTAAAATACCATGTTAAAATGTGGCTACCACCTCATCTAAAAATTTAAACTGCTAAAGTAATATACTTGTAATTACTTAATTATGTTATATATTTCGGCATACCTCCTTTCCTCACATGTAGGCTTGATTCTTTGACATGACTCATCTGTACGTGGAATTTGAATCATGACCTCTTGCTCGCTCTTATACCATATTGAAATATGTGATCAACTCATTTAAAAGTTTATGCACTTTTGTACTTACTTATATTATGCTCATCTCGCCCATTGATAGAGTCTCATTTTTCCAATAGGGTTCAATTAAATGCTTTTTCTGTAGGTCATATACATGAAATATTTATTTTTTATTTTCTTGGTGACAATAATATTTCAATAGACGTTTTGCTTGCTCTGATACCGTATGGAGATATATGATCAGGTCATCTAAAAGTTTAACTTGTACTATAAAATATTATACATATTAAATTACTTTATTATATTATGTTTCATTCATAGGAGGAAAAAAGGTCCTTCAAACTTTGCCGGCGAATATGGCAGATGCAAATATTGAGTGGGAACCACTAAGATACGGATTTCAAGTAAAGTTAAGAGGTTATGGAGGAAAATTTTTAAGTGCAAGTGGAGCGCCACTACGATGGACCAATAGAGTGACTCATGATTGTCCTTATAGTGCTACTACACATAATTGGATTCTGTGGAGCGTGGAACCTGTTGACATTCCGGAAGATGAGTCGTTAACAGATTATTTAACTATGGTTTCGAATTTTTCATCGGTCTCCGGTGAACTTTCTACCTTGGATTTGGGGTCTCCGATGTCGATGTATTCAAGTCATTGTTTCTCACCTAAGGTATGCTCTAGTTTTCTTTGTCTTTTCTTAGTAAAAGTCCTGGCTCTGTCACTGGAATGAGTTAACAACCAACATCGTCTTTCTTTGTTTGGCAGAGTCCTCTAACTAGAAGACCAGCAATGGAGCTATTCCACAAAGCAAAAGCTGTTCGTCTACAGAGTCACCATTACAAGTACTTAACAGCATTAGAAGATGAAGAATCAGTAACCCAAGATCGCGATGGCGCTTCAAGAAATGCAAAATGGACAATAGAATTCGTCGAAAACACCAACAATATTATACGCTTGAAAAGTTGTTATGGCAAGTATCTTACAGCATCAAATCAGTCTTCTGTTCTTGGTATAACTGGTCGAAAAGTTGTGCAAACTCTACCAAATCGTCTCGATTCTTCGGTCGAATGGGAACCCATTAGAGAAGGAAATCAAGTGAAGCTAAGGACTCGATATGGGCAATTCTTGAGGGGAAATGGTGGACTTCTTCCATGGAAAAACTCTGTTACACATGATATTCCTTATAGGAGAGTTACTCAAGATTGGATTCTTTGGGATGTTCAGGTTGTTGAAAACTTGCTATCACCATTGGCTCCTCGTGAAGATTCATGTGTTTCTGAATCTAGTTCTCCTTCTAATGTTTCCTCAAAGTCCACGAGCTTTTCTACACAAGAGGTACTATATTTTCCAACATTTGATCTTGAAGTTTAAGGATTATTATTGTTCTTCTTTCATGCGACAATTCATAAATAGAAGTTTTGAGATGAAGCTATATATATTCTTGGCCTTGGGATGTAAATTCTAGAGGCGTCAAAATCAGCCCATTTTTAGTCGTATGTCTAAGCCGTTCAAGTTTAAACATATCAAAGTTATTGATCTGTTTGTTGACTTGACTAACAAGGTTGAACCCGAAATGAATTGAATCAATTTTGAAAATTGGCTAAAATTCCCAAACTTACAAAATCAATTTTGAAAATTGGAGATTATATAAATTTGGATGAACTTAAGCTACAAGAAAGATACATTAGCTTTCATAGTTTTTTCCCAAAAAGAGAAGGGGAGATTGATTCATGTTGGCATCTTGACTACTCTTATTTTGACCCAACAAAATTTGGGTTGGTTGGATCATGACCGATTTATTGATTTGATCCATTTTAACTTGATTTGATCCCTTCGGGGATGGCACAGTTGGTTTGGAGGGGGGGTGATCCATATAGATGACCTGGGATCGATCCCCTTAATGTCTTCTGAGTCGAGCCTGTCGCACAGGGCTTGCCTAGTGCGGTTTACATCCTCTGTGTGGTTTACAAGTTGCTACAGAGTTGGGGGTTTACCCAATACACACACAGTGCTCACCCGAAGGGCAGGGGTTGTAGCAGTTGTGGGTTTTCCTGAGGTTCCAAAAAAAAAACTTGTCCAAGTTTGACTTACCACATGACTTGGTACCTCTAGTGAATTCAATGATTATTATTTTTTTGGTGATCAACTTTCTCCTTGTTTTTTCTTCTTCTTTTGGCAGTCAAGTGATTCTTCGCTGCCTAATTTGGGAGAAGGGAGGTTCATATTTTATCATATGGTGGATGAATTTGGAGAAATTGAAGAGGAAAAGGAGGCACTTTTCATAACTTTCGATGGAAATACTGTTGAGGAGTTGACTAAGAGATTGGAGGATGAAACTGGGCTTGAGGATATTATTGTGTGTACAAGAAGTCCTTTGAATGGGAAGCTTTATCCTCTCAGTTTGCACCTTCCACCCAACAATGCAACAATGAATGTTATTATTATGCCATCTTCATATATAGGTGAGATTTCTACTCATCTTGAGTTGGTTTCATCTCGTGAAAGTTTGACTTGTTTGAGCATTTTTGTCCAAAATGAGCTACAATGTTTATATCATAATGGTAACAAATCATATTCTAGACCAAAAGGGCAGATTGCTGCACGAAATATCTCGTGTTTACGTAGGGTCCACGGAAGGGTCGTACCGTAAGAGGGTATGATGTAAGCAGTCTACCCTGATGTAAGCACTAGTGATGATTCCACGGTTCGAACCCGTGACCTATAGATCACACGGGGACAACTTTACCGTTGTCCCAAAGCTCCCCTTCTTCTTGACCAACTGATAACATTGTAAATTGGTGTTTTTTTTCTTTAGGTTTTTACATGGCTATTATCACAATCTTTTATTGACTTGTAACATCTTTTTTTGTTTGTTTCTCAAGCTATTACTCCAGATTCTCTTTCAAGCCATATGTCCAGCATTCCCGAGTTGAATACTTCCAATTTCAATGAATGGAAGGAACAACTAGAAATTACATTGGGATGTTTGGATTTGGATTTATGTTTCAGAATTGATGAGCCTTTGGAAGAATATGCCATCTATGCTACTTGGGAACGCTCTAATCGCTTAAGTCTCATGATTATGAAGAGTAAGATTGCTAAGAACATCTGCAAATCAATACCAAATTCTACCAGAGCAAGAGAGTTCTTGACATCTATTGAAAAACAATTCAAGGTTTCCGATAAGGCATCGGTAGGTACACTCATGGAAATTTTAACTACTAAGATATATGACGGGACTAGAGGTGTGCGTGAGCATATTATAGAAATGGCTAATATGGCGGAACAACTTAAAGCAATGGATATAACCATTTCGGAATCCTTTTTGGTGCAATTTGTTCTCAATTCGCTTCCTTCTCAATTTGGTCCTTTTAAAATTAGCTATAAAACAAATATGAACAAATGGACCGTGGATGAACTCATTGAAATGTGTGTTCAAGAGGAGAAACGATTAAAGGGAGAAGGATTACTATCGGTTCAACAAGAAAAAGGACCAAAGAATGGACAACGAAATGAGAAGAAATCACCAAATCATGAAAATAATGCTATTACACATGATGGTGTGAATAAAGGGAACATGAAATATTTCTTTTGCAAACAGAAGGGACACTTGAAGAAGGATTGTCTTAAATTCAAGAATTAGTATGTAAAGTAAGGTACGTATTCAAATTACCTATGTATGTTATGAAATCAATTTTTTATTGATGATTTTTCTGATATGTAGAAGTTAGTTCTGATGTTAGGAACTAACTTCAAATTCTTTGCAGGGATTTCTTACAACACGCATCGCTAGGGAGAGTGAAAAAAATATATTTTTCTTGGAGAATAAAATCCAATCTTCAGTTAAAGCTGTAGAGAATAAACTTGTTTTAAGTAGTAAATAGTTACTAGAGTTGAATAATACCTCTTATTAGGATTTTTTTGTTTTTGCTTTGATAATCAAGGATATTATGTTAACTTTGGAAATAAAACTTTGAGGCATATAAAATAGTCTGTTGATTGGGAGTGGTATTTTCTGTGACCGTTTATACAAAATCAGTATTGACTCTTCCTTTTCTTTGTCTCAATCAATATTCTTGGCCTTACACTTACATGTGGTAACAAACAATGGCATCTAAAGAACTCGCCAAACTGAAACTTCATCTACGTTGTGGAAAAAAAAGGTTAATTAGGATACATGTCTAAATAAATGCTAGAAAGACTTGTTGAAGATGAAGTTGTATGAAATCTTAATTTTTAAAATTTTGGTACTTGTATGTTTGCATAAGAAAAAAATCAATCTAAAAGTACCAAGAAAGGTGCCACAAGAAGTTCAACACTACTTGAAGAATAATAAAACGATTGTATGTGGACCATTTTCTAGTTGTATAAGTAGTGAAAAATATTTTATCACCTTATTGATTGACTTCTCATGTTATGATTATTTTTATCTTATAAACGAAATCTGATGCTTTAGAAGTCTTCAAGATTTTTAAAGCTGTAAGTACAAAATCAATTAGACAAAAAAAAAAAAAAAAAACGGGGG